CCGTCGCCCCGTCTATGGCCTGCGCCAGGTGTCCCATGAGTGGCACGATACGCTGCGTGCTACACTTGCTGACCTGCGTTTCTTCCCGTCGTCTGCAGACCCCTCACTCTTTGTTCTACATCCTTGTTTACGTAGACAATCTGGTCTTTGCTACTGCAGACAGAGACGCACTGGCTTTCGTGAAGGCCGAGCTGCTAAGGAGACACACCTGCACTGACCTAGGAGAGTTGCGTCGCTACCTTGGCTTGCAGATCTCCAGGGACAGAACAGCGCCCACGATCAGTCTCACACAGTCACACTTGGTGCGCCTGGTCCTTCAGGGGTTCGGCCTTCAGTTCTCTTCCGCATAGCCCACCCCTCTGCCAGTAGACCACAGACTCTCTGCTCTAGTTCCGGAGGAGGCTGTAGAGCCTAGTGGTCCTTACGCAGAGCTGGTGGGTTGCCTCATGTACCTGATGACTTGTACTCGTCTAGATCTCGCATACCCTCTCAGCATCCTGGCCCGCTTTTTGGCCTTCGGCAGACACCGACCACAGCATTGGTCTGCAGCTAAGAGGGTTTGCGTTATCTAGCAAGTACATCATGCATGGGGCTAGTGCTAGGAGGACGTAGACCAGTGGTCCTTACTGGTCACACAGACGCTGCCTTGGTGCAAGTGCTGTCTCGTGGAGGTCCACCCGCTCGTCGTCTGTTGCCCAGTCTAGCTGTGAGGATGAGATCTACGTCGGTGCCATGGCGGCACAGGAGCTCTACTGGCTGACTTTCTTGCTCACAGACTTAGGTGAGCGGCCTAGCTCTGCCCCGGTCCTGTACGCTGACAACAGGCCATGATCCTCCTGTGTCAGGACCTAGACTCAAGGGCAGAGCAAAGCACATCCAGATGCGGTAATTCCTTCTGCGCGAGCTACAGGCCCGCGTAGTACACTTGGCCTCCGGTGCCAATATAGCTGATATCTTTATGAAGGCGCTTGCGCCTAAAGATCATCAGCGGCACTGTGTACAGCTTGGACTCGTTCCTGTAGCACCTCATTTGCCACGACCTTGATGGTGTATAACTCTTTATATATTATTTTGACTGGCCTTGTGGCCTTCTCCTTGTGGCTGGACTAGTAGTGCCGCCCTGGTCTTGTTTTGCCTTGTTTGTACTTTTTTTGACTGGTCTTTTGACCCCTGCCTTAGAGGTTGGACTAGTAGTGCTGCCCTGAGCTGTTTGTCTCTCATCAGGCTCTGCCCCTATCTAGTCTAGGGGGTGTGTCAAACATATTTGTGTATGTTTAGTAGACTACATAGGGTCTTTCTATAGAGAGTGCAACCCAGTAGCTATATACTCCTGTATTCTCTCTGTCTAGTCACTCGTTCTAACTGTGAGAGCTCCATGTGTCTGAGCCAAGTCAATGATGCAGCTACCTCTCCGGTGTTGCCAGGTGAAAGTTTGGGAGTGCATGGGGATAGATGGATCATGTAAGCGGAACTTGAGAGGATGCAAGTCGGATGTACTAGAGCACCCTTATGATGAGATGCCCTAGATGTGGCTCTAGTTTAAAACCCTTCGCAATTTTGTGCAATGTTATGAGGCGCAAACAATGAGTGCCCAATATTGGCAGTAGCGAGGAAATAATACAATGAGGCAACATCAAAGCAACCAAGAGCTCGAGTATAGCTACCAGTATATGTGGCATTTGTAAGGAATTACGATTCCTTAATGTGGCTCGCCACAGCGAGTACACGCGAACCTCTCGGTTCCGCAGGCTCGGCCCTTGGTTCTCGCGCCAAACCAACCCCCGTCGACCTTTTCGGGCCCAACCTGATCCCGAGTCGCCCCGAACCCATTTTGACTCCGTCACCCTCGGGACTTCCGAGCCCTTGACTGGTCCAACCCTCGACATTCAGCCTTGGTCAAGACACCTATATATTGCTGCAGCCTCATTATTCTGGAGCATATTGTAATCACGTTCCCCTATAGTATTTTGCGCTATACTATGAGTTCTAATTAATAACAAGGGGTATCAGAGCTACATTCCTGCCCATTAGGCTTCCGGTAGGCGAGCAGATCCTATCGGGGAAGGGGGCGGAAGGATGCTGATGGCGAGCGGACGTCGCGGAGATTAATTGCGCGGGCGTTGCCGATGCCGTCAGATCCTGTTTGATAGACGGCTGGGATTGGCCGGTCCTCCCCTTCCATGGGCGTAGGCGGAATTATTTCCCGTCGAAGAGTGGGCGACGTTTTCGCCGTGTTTTTCGGGTATATTCTATAGAGATTTCATGATTTTCGGGTGTTGGGACGGAGTCTTCGTATTGGCTTCTGAAAAAAACGAAGGCTTTGTTAGGAGAAGACAAGTGCATGGGAGTCCTCAAGAGGCCGGGAGTTGGTCGTCAGGAGCGCGCGGGGTGGCGAAAATAACGGGATGTAAGGCGATGTACGTCTGGCACGCCATGCAGCGGCAAGGTGAACTGTAGCTGTGTCGCGGGTCCCGGCGTTTCCGGCAAGCTAGTTGCAGGCGATGGACGGGACTTCAATACTATTTCGGCAATGGGCGGATCCGACAATTTCGTAACGACACGATCGCACGCGAGTTTCCGACGGAGGAGGGAGTTGTCCAGCAGTCAGTAGGCGAGCTCGTTTAAGCTCCTCTGACTAGAAGCGTGCGCACTCCTATCTCTGTGGATTTTCCTTGTTAGTTAAGCAGCAGCGAAGCAGTTTTGGGTAACCTGAAGCAGCCGCGAGATGGGTGAACGTCTGCACGGCCAGCTGGCAGGGGTACCAGAGTATTTTAAAGTTGGGTAACAGGTGGGTGGAGATCAACGACGTATGATGTGCATTGACCCTGATCAACGGCCAAAACATTATGCCGAGGCGGTGGACTCCGGTAAACCCTAATATAAAGGGTTCACTTCATGCGTACAGCTGGTGGAGAAACTGTAGGGGCGCTGCAAAAGGACGCCGAGACGCCTGGGCATTTTTACAGGTAGCTGTGAAGCGGATTTATGGTATTTGCTAAGTACTGAGTGGTTCCAATATTTTCGGTGGGTTTGAGGAGCAGTTCAAGAGTTTACAGCTGGAGTTGTGCCCGCTATCTTCAAGAGTACGTGCGACATCGACCGACTTTTGCGGAGTGTTTTGGTTGTATGGAGCGGAGGGAGAGCAGTAGTAGTTTTGGTTCTTCCCGATTTTTTCGGCGTGTACGAGCAAGTAGCTGATGCAGCTGGCAGCATTTGACCACGGGTTCTGTTCGAGGATATTCACTGGAATGGTTCGGTACAGGTTCAAGGAAATCGCCGTCGTCGACTTCCTCTCGTCACTACCCGCTACCACCCCTATCGTCAATTCGCGTGGTTCGCCTGATTGTGTGAACACGACCCCGCCTCGCCACCCATCAGGAGCAGTATCGATATGAAACAATTTGTAGCCGTGCTGTTGGCGTCCACTGGAGCAGGCGTCGCTATTTTAAAAATCCCTTGGACAGGTTTACCCTGCTGAAGCAATTTTCTTGGATCGGATTTTGGTGTTATCATCGTTTGGGTTCTTCCACGGCATCTTCGAAGCTGAGTTTGACAGAATTTAGCAGCAGTACGGGTTTTGCGGCAGAAGAGGGAGTATCTCAAGTACCCTGGAGTATTGTGTTTCTTGGAGTGTTTACCCGCATTTTTGGGAGATGTTTCTTCTTGGAGGGAGGGAGAAGGGCAGATGTGCTACAATTTTCATCTGACCCTTCGGCGTATTCCATCACCCGCTTTCGACCGACATTCGTTATCGTTACGCTTTCCCGCCTGATTTCGTCACTTCGTTGATGGAGTTCGCTGACTTTCGTGGGACACGGACGCATGCTCTCGCATGTGACTCGAACGACCTCGTGTTTGATGAGCAGGTTCTTCATTTCATCAATTATTACGATATTCGCCAGCCATCATTTGAAGATATTCAGCTGCCATGAGCCATCATCAATCAACCACTCGACAATTTTCATTGTTCACAGGCTTCCGCTGGAGTATTTACCCTGGCCTGTTTAATCAGCTGAATTATTCGACCATCTTCGACAGCCGAGATTAAAAGCGATCATTTCGACGCTTTCTGACCATCGATTTCAGTTCGACCTCAAGACCTCGTCATGCCGGCGTAATCATTACGCTCATCACAGGGCTGAAGACTTACAGTCATATCGGGGATTAACATAGATAAAATGTTCGACCTCGATAAAGGTAGTGCCTTCCTTTAGAAGGTGGGAGAGTGTAAGGAATTACGATTCCTTACTGGGGCTCGCCACAGCGAGTACACGCGAACCTCTCGGTTCCGCAGGCTCGGCCCTTGGTTCTCGCGCCAAACCAGCCCCCGTCGACCTTTTCGGCCCCAACCTGATCCCGAGTCGCCCCGAATCCATTTTGATCCCGTCACCCTCGGGACTTCCGAGCCCTTGACTGGTCCAACCCTCGACATTAATCCCTGTTCAAGACATCTATATATTGCCTAGGCCTCATTATTATGGAGCATACTGTAATAACGCTCACCTATAGTATTCTGCGCTATACTCTGAGTTATAATTCATAACAGCATTTATGAGAACTGTTGGTGTAGGGAATAAATGTGGACCTGTCCCCAAAATTTTGCCTTCGTGGACTATTTGAAGACCCTCACCGACGTTGACGGTTCCCCATTTTCTTCAATCCCATTAAAGCTGACGCCACGTCAGACTAGGACAACCGCCGTCAGGTGTTGACCGATCTCCGTTGACGCGTCTCGCCCTTTGCTGCGAAGGCGGAATCTCTCATGACGTGGCAGAGGCGGAACTGGGGGGAGTGTGGCTCGCGACTAAGTCGAATCTCGCGAGGAGGAGTCTTTCTAGCCTTTTCCTCACCGTCGATTGGCTCATCGAGCAAGCAATTCTCGCGAAACAGTTCGCCACTCCTGTCGCAGCGGCGAGTTTACGGATTCAGCTTGGGAAATGCGGCTCGGGGCTGGTATTTACATGAGGAGATTGTAGCCAGAATCAATCCAACCCAAATCTAGCACATTCAGCTCATCCAACCACCCTTCTTGCCTCGAAAATAGCCAGCCGCAATTGCCGCTATTGAGGTAGTTCATTTGGGAAGCACTTCTCCCTCCCAGGTCTACATCGTTTCTTCTCAAAACATTCGCCTCCGGCTTCAATCTCATCCTCTCCAATGGCTCTTGCAACTCTCAGAACCGCACCTCTGGTGTCCGGTTTCATTGTGACAATTATGATCTTGTTAGCAACAGCATTCCAAGGAGCACTCGCAGTAGCACCAGCGACGTCAACAGCAGCAGCAGTAGAAACAGCAGCAGCGGCTGGGACAACGACTGTGAGAGTGCCGATGAACGGCACTCAGTACCGCACAACTGCTCTGGCGTGCAGCAAGTCGACGCTCGCTGGCTTCGCCAAGAAAGTCACTCTCAAGCCTAAGTAAGTCGCATCACAACCACACGGTCGTTCCATAACTTCATGCGAAAGTGCAGACGCTAGGGAATAATTATGTGCATCAATGCCGTCTGATCATCTTGATTATCCTCCCCCAAGCGCTTCAGTAATGGACATACATGTCATGTCGTGACAAACTTGAAGCCAACCCTAAAATGCTCCGTAGATAATTCTCCTTTGACGAAGTCGGGGTTTCCCTGTGCTCCCAAACTTTGAACACGGCTTCATCATCTCCCCCCTTTTTTCCTCCTCCCACTAAAATCCGAATCCCTGCCTCATCAGGCTCCTATTCCACTGGAAAATCGTCGGAAGTACTCTCTACGGCGCAATCGTTGCACAGGCAGGCGGCGGGGCGAAGAACGGGTGGATCTCCGTTGCTTGGACCCAGAGCCCTGGGCAAATGTACCCTGCAGATGCGGTAGTGGGGAATCTCCCGGCGCCGACTCGTGTTAAGGCATATGCGATGAACGGCTACAGCATGTCATCAGTTGTTCCGTCATCCGCATTCAAAGTGACAGCGACCTCAGTTACGAGTAGCACGTCAGCAACAATTATCAAGTGAGTTGACTTGAAAAATATTTTTAGGTGGTGTACGAATTGTGAGTTTGTCACAAGGCATCAGGTCTGGTGTTGGCTGCTACAATTGCCACTGACTGCGACAAGGCACCCATACATTCTCATCATCTAACCTCCCTACATTCTCAGGTTCACCCGGAGCGGCAAGACGGGCCTGTCACCGATCAAGTATGCGGGCACAAACAACATCATTTGGGCCTACTCGTACTCAGGCTCCTCCAAGGCGTTTGGCGACCACGGTCCAAACTGGTAGGCTAATGAAATTGCACGTTCTTATGATGTGTGCCGGAAGCAAGAAACATTCGCTCATCTGTTTTGCATGTGCCATCGCAGGGGATCTGCAAGTGTCAACCTGGCATGCAACGTCTAAGATGTTTTAGTTTTGTAATGGGTGTCATTATTGTAAGGTGCATGCTTTATCTATACTGGTGGAAGTATGATGATGTAATGTACACTTGGAAAAAAAGGCACAAATGCATAGTTGTAACATTATGTTAAAATGTGTAGCACTTGGAAATGGGGATATTCACATTTTGAAAGCAGTCTCAGATTTCATCACATAAATATGATTCTCAACCTCAGTATTTGAACAGATTAAAAGACATGGCAGATTATCGGTGGCTTGCTTTTCAAAAGGAAGGTCCTCCAGATGCCCGTTCTGTTTGATTTTCAGCCTAGACTCTTGAAGTGACTCTCACCCAGCCTAGCACCTATTTTGAGAAACGATTTTCACCCTATGTGGATCCTCCGCTGATGCCATACTCTGATTATTTACAGAACATTCTCAGGTGGGTTGTGTGAGACTGCTTTTGAGTCGTTGCTTGGTGCGGGCCTTTCCGGCAGTGAGAGCAGTAGGAGGAGGGCTATGCCCATAGCGCCTTTGGACCAATATGATCTGACGACCATCTCAGGTGGGTTGTGTGAGGATGCATGTGCAAGTCTGCGTGGGGGAGAGAGACCATCCCAAGAAGCATGTTTCAGCGTGGCACAAGGGACCTTCAAGGGAGTTGTATTCCGAACAATTATCCTTGGAAAAATTCGAATACCCTTCCCCCCTCCTCCTCCCGCCCTCAATCTCTAGTTTCATCTGACCCTCAGGGAGAAGGATAACCTCACAAATCGGCCAGTGCAGCAAGCCAAACAATCCCGGGTAGTGGCAAAGGGAGATGAGGGGCCAGTGATTATGTTGAAAGGGACAATCTGTAAGATTTCTAAACCGCCCTGTAGCCAGTGACACCATGACCAGAGATCCCCGTATTAGGGGAGGGGAGTAGGATTGAAATAATGACCTCCAAATGGCGCACACGTAGCACTTTGAATCAGCCCGAAAGCTTCAGAATTGAGGAAGGACCAGTCCATAATATGAGGATGGGTACAAGATATTTAAAGGGAATCACTATACAGATTCTCTCTCTGGATTTTAAACAAACACGCTAGCTAGCAAATGTAACATCGAAGCACGTGCGACTCGACAGAAATTCTGACTTTGGAGTTGCGTCCGATTTTTGTTTAGTCCGTGGCTCGAATCCAAGTCCGAACGTGAACTTGGTCCACGCCAATCATGTCACGCGTTGAACTTTTTCCCAATTTTGCAAAATTGAGGGTATAGCGAAAGCATCTAACTTTCACTACACCCCATTCATTTTCGCCAATGCTTGAGGGGCTGCCAAGTGGCGCCCTCCAAACATTTCAGACCAACCAAGGGGAAACTTGGTTGCATGGCGACGCGGACAAATCCGCCGTCACCACTTTTTCCAAGCAACCCACCTCCCTTGGTCCAAGTCAAGAGAGGTCCTTGGCCTGGGGGCAAACTTCCTCCCCCACAATTCCAACACTCCCCCTTGCACCCCACGCTCACCTACGCATGCAAGCCTACCCTAGCACAACAAGCTAGAAGAGCATCTCTAGGCAAGGTCTTAGTGAGAATCCGCGGGTTGAGCATTGGTCTTGATGTAACGAATTTCGGCTTCGTTGTCTTCAACGAGCTTGCGTATCAAGTGGTGACGAATTTGGATATGCTTGGTCCTCCCGTGAAGGACCGAGTTCTTGGCGATAGCTTTGGCCACTTGGTTGTCCACGTGGGTAGGGGTAGGACATTCTTGCTTGTAGCCAAGCTCGGCAAGAAGGTGCCTCAACCAAACCGCTTCCGTACCACCACGTGTGAGAGCTACATACTTCGCCTCGGTGGAGCTTAGTGCAATCAGGTTTTGGTGTTTACTTTGCCAACTTATTGCACCTCCAAAGAGGGTGCAGATGTATACCGGCGTGCTTTGCCGCGTGGATGGATCTCCCGCCCAATCCGCATCCATGCAGCCTTGCAACACCACCGGTCCCGCTTCATACTGCAACCCAATATGAGTAGTGCCGTTGATGTACCGAAGGAGACGTCGAGATGCTCGTACATGCTCGACCATGGGACTGGACACAACACGTCCTAGTACCCCCATGGGAAAGGAGAGGTCGGGTCGTGTGCTCACGGCGGCATACATGCACAACCCTACCACCAAATAAAACCTCGTGGCGCTCTTGGGGTCCATGGGGTTCTCATCGCTGATGGCCAAGGGATGAAACCCCGCTTCCATGGGCGTCGGCGTGGGCTTGCTCTCAACCATGCCGAACCGACCCACCACACTCTCCAAGTATTTGTGTTGGCAGAGATGAAAGGGACTTGTTCCCACAATCTCCATCGACATGCATCCCGAGGTAAGAGGAGACCGCGCCGAGGTCACGCACGGAGAACTCGGCTGCAATCCTCTACTAGGGACTTACAATCTGAGACGATAAGGAGATAGTCGACGTAGAGAAGAAGCACGAGCTTCTTCCCCCCCTTGTTGAGAATATAGAGAGCATGGTCACACTCGCTCCTCTCAAGCCCCATTGTGAGCAAGTGACCATCCATCCTCATGTACCAAGCCCAAGGGCTTTGCTTGAGGCCATAGATGGTCCGCTTGAGCTTGCACACCCGGTCGGTGCCGTCGTCAAAGCCGGGAGGTTGCGGCATGTACACCTCTTCCTCAAGACGGCCAAAGAGGAACCCCTTCTTGATGTCGATTTTCTCAACCTCCAAGCCGAGGTCTCCCCCCAAAACCAAGAGAGTACGCAAGGTAGCGGACTTGGCGACGAGAGCGAAGGTTTCGTTGTAGTGAGGACCATTTTGAGTGTAGTCTTACGCTACCAACCGCGTCTTGTACCACTCCACCTCATTGTTGGGTCCAAGCTTCTTCGTGAACACCCAACGAGAGCCAACAAGGTAGGCGCCGGGAGGCTTTGGGCCAAGCTCATAGACCTCATTGGCCATGAGCAATTCATACTTCTCCCCACCTCTCACTCCGCAGCTTCCAAGGAGTTGACGGCGTCATAGTAGGTGAAATGGGTGAAATGGTGTGCCTCAAGGCACCAAGCATCTCCCCCTTCCTTGTCGTCCTCCGCCATGAGAGAGACGTTGAACTTTGGATTAGGATGAGGTGCCCATCGAGTGTGAGTGGAGGCAAGGGTTGGAGTGATCGTAGTAGGAGGAAGTGAAAAATCGATATCCTTGGCATGTTCTTCATCTCTATTCTCTCCAACCACCACATCATCCTTCCACCCCTCACTCGTGCTCGAGGGAGTAGGGGCCGCATCCACCTCGGTCCGCACATCCGCCGTTTTGACCGCATTTGTTAACTCTAAGGGTGGGGGAATCATACGAATGGGTGGTGCTCCCATGGGCTTGGAGGGGAAGCGGTCCTCATAGCACACCACGTCTCGAGATACCACGAGGTGCTTCCGCTCTAAGTCCCACATACGCCATCCCTTGTGATCCGTTATCTTTCCATGGTAGTAGCACAAGCATCCGAAGGTGCGAAGGTTGGAGATGTCCGGCTTCATGCCGCTCCAAGCTTAAAGTGGCGTCGTTTAGGGTAACGCATTGGTGACATGCCAGTTTCGAACCCAATTTGCCAAGGTTAGCACCTCACTCCACCACGCCTTCTCCGCATGAGCACGGAAGAAAATGCTTCGTGCCGACTCCATCAACGACCGGTTCAACCACTCGGCCACTGTATTTTGTTGGGGCGAGTATGGTGTCGGGTATTCGTGCGCGATCCCATGAGAGCAAAACCGCTTCACCTTGTGACCGGATTGCATCTCCACGTCCACCACCCATTCCTTGATCATCAACGAGGTGTCGTTCTTGTCCTTGAGAAACCGAATCCAACACATGCGGGTTGCATCGTCGAGGAATGTGAGGATGTAATGCGTGCCTCCCTTGGACATGGGAGTGATAGGCCCACACAAATCCGTGTGCACAAGGGCGAGGGGTGTATCGGCGAGCGGAGTGGTATGGGACGGGAAGGGATTTCGCGCCATATTTCCCTCAAGGCAAGTGGTGCACTTGCCGTCCTTGTCACCCGAACGCCCAAGACACAAGCCATGCACCACGCCTTTGGCTGCTATGGCATGGATCGTCGAGGGATCGGCATGACCAAGAGGGTTATGCCAAGTGGAGAGTGAGGTTGTTGCCGTAGCTGCGTGTACCGATGCAACTACCGGGAGGGCCTTAAGCATATAGAGCCCTTTGCCTTGCTGTGCCGTGCCGATGTGCGGCCTGTGCGCTGAACTAAGCTCCATCGCCGTCCCTTAAATACTCACACGCGTTCCCTTGCGTGTCAATTGGGAGACGGAGATGAGATTCGCGCCGGGAACCACCAAGGCATTCTTGATGGTGAGAGAACCACCGCCCACCGCAAGCCGCAAGTTGCCACACCCCGTGACGTTGAACGAGTCGCGGTTGCCGAACACAACGCACTTGATTGGTGTATATGGGGATACGTTGTTGAGAAGCTCCGCACATACCGTCCCGTGTTGCGAGGCGCCTGTGTCGATGATCCATGCCTCGCTTCCTCCAATGGTTGTGTCGCCTCCTGCGGACACGAAGTCATGATCGGTGGCGTCGCATGCCGCCAGATGCGCACGCCGGTTGCCGTTGTCACAGGATCGAATGAGGTTTGCTCAATGTTGCCCTATCAATCAGTACAAGGTGCTTTTATACTTTCGGAGTACATAAGGTAACCAGGTGTATCCTATCCAAAAGGAATAGACCGTTCTAGAAATAGAATCACCCTGCGTATAGCCACGCGAGGCTATTGGCTATAAGGGATTACGGCAGGATTACGCTAGATATAGCGCGCCAGTACATCCCGAGCCTGGTCACTGATATACTGTAATTATAATAACATGATAAACCAAAGGATAATGGAAAAGGAGGAATAGGAAACCAAATGAGATGAGATAAAGACCAAATGAATCAGGATGCCAAGAGGAATGAGATAGAAGGAAATATGGAAAGCGGAAATTGTCGTACTCTCACAGCCGTGATCGTTGATGGTGGTCTCCAATTTGCCATTTCGACGGGACACTCCCGCCACCAATGACCGGGCTTCTTGCAAA